ATATTTAGAGGCTGTAATTCAAACTTTAGGAAGATTACTTCCATGGGCTTGCCCCACCTTGACATTTTGGGCAAGGAGACATCATAGACTCCCAGAAAATGCTGGGGATGTGCCCATGACCTCACGAGCCATACTAGTCTTCTAATATTTATTGCTGTGGTTTAACACAGATTGCAAGGGAGGTGAATGAGTTAGCCTCTCATGGTCCAGGACATTACAGAGAAAGGAAGAGAAGTAGACGAAAGGAAAAAGGACACAACAAATTCACAAAGTAAATAGATGTCTCCACTTGGTGGGGATTGCCAGGGTCCTTAACAAATGTGTGATATCATTTTGCAGTCTCTACCCCAACACTTGGTAATGATGGTTTCCCTCAGGAGTCATCAACAGAAAGGACTATTAAACCCATAATTTTCGTCTTTGCTTGCATGGTCTTACTTGGAATCGTTTCTTCCTATGTGTGGGACCATTTGTGTTTATTTTTCTAAGAACTCTCCATCTCTGAACTGTTCCCTGTGTCTCCAATGTAAGCTACTCTGACCTCACAAGTCACAGAGGCATCACAGCAAGCAAAACAGAGCACCCCTGACTCCATGGCCCCTTGGCCTTCTGAGTGCAAAAGGAACCAACAGACCTCACTGCCACTTGAGGAGTCTGTTTCCTGGCCCAGCCTCATGACAGGAAGTAGCTGGCAAACCAGTCATGTTCAGTCCCCTGCTCAGAGGAACAGAAGACTTTGTTCCCACGCTTAATAGGTCATTATACACCTTTCTTTTTATCTTGGAGACTAATAGATTGACTTTAAACCGTTCTTCATTGTAGAATATTGTTTTTTAACTAGGCAAAGATGTGTTATGTTTGTTTAGGTTGGGAATATTAATTTAATTGTGTAAAGGTGTGTTATTTTTGTTTGCCCCACATTTGTTTAATGATGTAAAGATGTATCACATTTGTTTCACCTTGCCTGCCTAAGGCACCTGATTGGTCTAATAAAGAGCTGAGTGGCCAACAGCTAGGTAGGAGAGAGATGGGTGTGGCTGGCAGGCAGAGGGAAAAAATAGGAGAAATCTAGTCTTGAGAGAAAAGATTGAGAGAAGGAGAGAATGAGGGACACACCCAGGGCAAGAGGCCAGGCAGCCTCTACCAGCCTGGCACAAGAAGCAGTGGAAAGAAAGAAGAGCAAAAAGCCCTGAGGCAAAGGATAGATAAAGTCAAGCTGAAAGAGCTAGCCAGAAGCCAGCCTAAGCTAGGCCAAGCATTTATAATAAGAAGTCTCTATGCCATGACTTTGGAGCTGGTTAGTGGCCCAAAAGAAAAAGCCTGGTACACGTCTTTTTTGTCATATGTCAAAGACAAATGTCACGATAAAGTCTCAAGAATTTGTTTCATACCATATGTTATGTTGTGAACCAAATAGAGCTTCCCAACATAGTATAAAACTGTAACCTGCTGGTGGTATCTCAACATTAATTTAATTTAAAATTTTCACATTTAATTCAAGCAGTGGTGGCATACATCTTTAATCCTAGCACCCAGGAGGCAGAGGCAGGTGGATCTCTTGAGTTTGAAGCCAGTCTGATCTACAGATCAAGTTCCAGGACAGTCAAAGCTACACAGAGAAACCCTGTCTCAAAAAACATGTATGTGTGTATGTATGTATGTATGTATGTATGTATGTATGTATGTATGTATGTATGCATATATGTATAAAACCATTATGCACTTGGTAAACAATATATTTATAGATTTGAATTTCTCATTATATTTTATTGTGCTTATTACATTGCCCCCCAAATTATCACTTAGTTATTAAGCTTTATGAAGAGAAATGTGCCATTTACCCCCAAGTAGACAGTGAGAGGTTTCACTTGAGTTAGTTTCAGTCCATCATGGCAGAGTCCACAGTGGGAGCACACGGTGACGCTCCTCACATGGAAGTGGGGACACTCCTCACACGGAAGTGGGGATGCTCCTCACACGGAAGTGGGGACGCTCCTCACACGGAAGTGGGGACGTTCCTCACATGGAGGCTGAACCAAGAACCAGGGCAGATCAACAATTTTTCCCCCAAATGCTGCCTCTTATTACATTATACACCATCACAGATATTCAAAAGGCAAACAAGGTCCTTCCTTAGTGTATGGCCTGCCTCCCCCTTTAAAGATCTGTTCGCTATTTTAAATTATGTGTATGTGTGTGTCTGTGTGGGCATATAAGCACATGAGCGTAGGTACCTATGGAGGCCAGAGGTGCTAGATACCCCTGAAGCTGGAGTAACAGGAGGTTATGAAGCTCCTAACACGGGTGCTGGGAACTGAGCTCAAGTCATCTTCGAGACTGATACATGTTCTTAACTGCTGAACTGTCTCTCTAGCTTTTCTCCCCCTTTCAACTCCTTCTCTCTATTTCTTTTTCTTCCTTTCTTCCTTCTTTCCTTCCTTTCTTCCTTTCTTTCCTCTCTCTGTCTCTCTGTCTCTCTGTCTCTCTCTCTCTGTCTCCTTCCTCCCACTCTCCCCCCCTTGTATGTACCATTGTGTGGATCGTGGGACAACTATTAGGGCTGTCTTTGCAATGTCGATCCCAGGGACTGAACTCAGGTCTTTAGACTAGGCGGTGAGCACCACTATGGAAGTACTTGAGAGAGGCATGACCTTTTTCTTTCTTAAATCTGGTATCTATTCTGATGTAGAGAGCAGAGCAAATGTCTTACCAAGGTCCCTCACCTGGAGAGAAGGCTTAAAGAAAAGGGTTAATATTTGGTCAGAAGAACAAGCCCAGTGCAAGTCTCCTACCAAAGAAGCCCAAGAAACCATCAGGAAACAGCTTGGGAGACAGAGAGAAGATGCCCCACATGAGCAATGGGTGGATGTGTGTCCTGAATGGAGCATTGCTCCCTGGGATCATTCTCTGCGTATACCCAAGCTTGTGTGGGAAAGAGGTTTAAAGTATTTAACTTTTTTTCCCCCTTAAGGTTTATTTATCTTGTACACAGTGTTCTGTCTGCATGTACACCTGCAGGCCAGAAGAGGGCACCAGATCTCACTACAGATGGTTGTGAGCCACCATATGGTTGCTGGGAATTGAACTCAGGTACTCTGGAAGAGCAGTCAGTGCTTTTAACCTCTTAGCCATCTCTGCAGTCCTGGTTTAAAGTATTTTAAATGTCATTGTATTTGCATTTGCATTTGATTTGACTACGTACTGATTTAATTTTGAGTAACTTTAAATTTTAGTGTGTGCTTGTCCTGTGGCAATCAAACTCAGGTGACCAGGCTTGCCCAGCAAGCACCTTTACCCACTGAGCTATTTTGCTGGCCCTCAATGATTTTAAAAGTGATTTCAAAATGACAGACTCTGGAGATCCGCCATGGAGGGTCTCACTCTCCCTGGGGATCAGACTGGAGATTGGCTGGGGGGCTGGGGGGCTTGGTGGTGTGGGATGGGGAAGACGGAAGGGAGAGGGACCTGGGATTGACATGTGAAACAAGCTTGTTTCTAACTTAAATTTTTAAAAAAGGAAGAAAAAATAATAACAACAAAAAAAGTGATTTCGACGTCTGAGGGTGTGGCTCAGTGGTAAAACCACTTACCTGTCATTCATTAAGCCCTGGGTTGAATCTCCAGCACTACAGTGAACAACAACAAAAAAAATGGGGGGAGGAATTTCCAATTATAGTAATGTGATATATTTTCAATTATAGTAACCTGAAAAAGGCAAAACAAAGCTAAGGAATCAATAAAAAGATTAGTGATGTGGCAGTTAACTATTGTGTTTGGTATTAAAATGAACTCACATCATCGTACACTTGCCACAACCTGTGGAATGCGCAACAGAAGTCATGAAATCCAATGCAAGTCAAGAGCTTTGGTGGTAACCATGTGTCACCACAGGCTGGTGGCTGTAACAAATCTGCAGAGGACTTATTCATAGCCGAGACTGTGCTCGTGCAGTGGGCGGGAGGACTCACAGTTGAGGCTGCACATGTGGGGGAGGACTCACAGTTGTGGAGGATGCACATGTGGGGGAGGACTCACAGTTGAGGATGTACATGTGTGGGGAGGACTCACAATTGAGGATGCACATGTGGGGGGAGGACTCACAGTTGAGGCTGCATATGTTAGGGGGAGGACTCACAGTTGAGGATGTACATGTGGGGGAGGACTCACAGGGGAGGATGCACATATGCGGGAGGACTCACAGGGGAAGATGCACATGTGGGGGGAGGACTCACAGCTGAGGATGTACATGTGGGGGAGGACTCATAGCTGAGGCTGCATATGTTAGGGGGAGGACTCACAGTTGAGGATGCACATGTGGGGGGAGGACTCACAGTTGAGGCTGCACATGTATGGGGAGGAGGTGTGAGGACCTCTGTGCTTCCTGCTGTTTTGCTGTGAACCTAAAACTGGAATAAAAAATATATTTTCACAAGGTGATTCCTCTTTTAAGAATCTATTGTGTCAAATCATAAAAGCGGAGAGAACAGAAGGACCCATCAAGTCAATTTTAACAATTACCGACATGAGGCCGACCTTGCTTTATCTCACACCTACTCACTTCCCTCCACCAGACCTCAGCATCAGCCAGGGACTCACCGCAGCAGGCCTCGGATGGCCTCTCCCTCATCACGCAGTAACAGCCCAGAAATGGGATTTCAGGACCCGTGTGGTAGTGCGCGCTTACAGTCCCTAACCTGGGAGTCTGAAGCAGGAAGAGAGAAAGTTGGAAGGCGGCTGGAGCCACACAGCGGCACTGTCTCTCATGCACAGAAGGAAGTACTTTCCAGGACTGAAGAGACCGCTCAGCGGGTAAGAGCACTGGCTGCTCTTCCGGCGGCGCTTAGTTCAGTCCCCAGCACCCACAGGGTGGCTCACAGCTGCCTGTAACTCCAGCTCCAGGGGACTGATACTCTCACACCAGAGCTCATAAAATAAAGGTTAAATAAGCTCTATTAAAAAAGGAACATTTCATAGTTCATTATCCAAGCTAAACCTGTCAATTAGTTTAATACGAATTACTTTATTGTTCTTGCCTTTATATCTCTTCGGAACATTTTGACATCATTTTCCCAAAAATCCACAGCACCCCCAAGTCTTCCCAAACCTCCAAATTGAACTTTATCCACATCCTCCTAACAAAATATTTTGTAAACCTTGAGAAACATCATGGCTCTGTATTGACATAGTAAATACCTTTCGAAAATTAGGAGAAGCAAAATCACATTAAAGGTGGGACCTATGGCCTTTGAAGCCCTGCTATTTTCAGCATGGTATTTTCTTAAGTGCCAGGATGTCATCTTCTGGGCAGGGCTCTCACGCACTAGTCCAGCAAGCTACTAATGAGGTGCAGCTTGATCAACCATCCAGGAATGCTGAAGTTGGTGACCTGAGCTTGCTGGAGCCTGGCTAAGCAACTCCATACACTGTGCTTAGGCATGCTGATAGCTTCCCTTAACAAACAAAGGCTAGGCTAGAATCTTCTTGGTAAATATTACTTTAAAAAAAAGGAAAGCAGGAGATGAAAACTATAAGAGGAAATGGAGATTAGAGCAAAAAAGCACATGGAAAGGCCACACAAGCCGGAGGCAGATAATGACTGCAGAAACCTTGAAACCCAACTGCTATGGAGGAAAAGTCAACTAAAATGTTTCCACTGCTAACCACTAGTTGGATGGTTTGGGAGCTCCTGGCGGGTCTGCAGGTGGGATCGGGAATATGGTTGAACACCAGAGGATTGATTGATAGCTCACAGAAGAAGCAAACTGAGGAGTAAGGAAAGCCAGGTACCCATGCACATTTTACGAGACAAGCCACTCATTTCCTGCATTAACAGGCTAGTTCGCTTTGTAGCGTGGAGAGCCGCTGGGCACAGCACATGGCAGTTGTAGGAGCAGCTGCTTTTGCACTGCCAGGATCGGGTAAGAAGGGACCTGAGGGCTGTAGGGTTTACTCGGTCCCGCAGTTTAGGAGCTTTCGGTCCACTTTAGAACAGAAGGCATGCAGAGCCGTCTTCACAGCGGTGGGAGCGAGCAGCGGAGAATTCTCCCATCACAAGCTTGCGTTGGCTGGCAAGGGGGCTCCTTTTCACCCTTTGGAGAATGGGAACAGGAACACAGATCGGTGCAAACTGAAAGTCGGGTTTCTTGGCAGGTATTACAGACTTCTCAGAAGGAAAGGGCCGCTCCCACAACTGGTGAGACCAGCAACTCTAAGTGGGGTTTGGTTTTTACTTGAGTTTAGGTGACTCTTTCTCTTCCCTTTTCCTATTGGTCTAGAGGAATCTGTGAGCCCCTGACTACAGCAGGAGCTGGATCTCTGGAATCATCGATCATCTGGGGCACCCAGCTTGCTCGCTCTTTGTGATATGATGGGTACAAAGAAAGCCACTATGTGTGAGGGGAGATGGGCTATGTGTCAGAGAAGAAAAACTTACTGCTGGGGATAAAGCCACAAAGAAACCATGTACTGCCTATTGATGAGAGCAAAAAGCTATTAGAACCTCCTCAAACTGGGGTTCTTAGGCTCCCCTTTCTCATCCTAAGGGTTGATTGCTTCAAAGCAGAAAGAGGGCAGGAGCCTAGGCCAGGCTGTACCCTCGAGGGTACAGCCTGGCCTAGGCTCCTGCCCTCTTTCTGCTTATAACCCATGCCCACTTATCAGGTCCTTCTTTGAAAGGTTTTTCAGCCTCGAGAAATATCATAATCTGCTGTGAAACAGATATTCAGATCACAGACCTGTGGGGGGCTCCGACTCAAACCAGGAGAGAAATGAACGAAATTACAGGAATCTCTGCCTCTGAATACATGGTCTTCATGTCCAGGTCCAGTCAACTTCCAGTGTGTGGGAGGCAGATTTAACACAGGCAGAGCACCAGAGAACTCCTCTTGGGGAGAGGGCCTCCATGTGATCAGGTAGTGAGTGGCAAAGTTCTCCAGTGAGGGAGGCTGACCAGGTGGTACAAGGTTACCCTAGTTTGTCAGTAACAGCTCTCCTGCTTGCCCAGCTCCAGGGACTAGGACTAGCTGTAGTTGTCTAAGGCAGTGTTCTCCTGTGGGTTGTGACTCCTTCAGGGACAAATCCTTTCACAGGGGTCACCTAAGACCCTTGGAAAACTCAGATATTTACACTGCAATTTATAACAGAAGCAAAATTACAGTTATGGAGTAGTGAAAATAATTTTTTGGTTGGGGGGTCACCACAACAGGAGGAACTGTATTAAAATGTCACAGCATTAGGAAGATTGAGAACCACTTAGATGCTCCCTCTCTGTCTCTCTCTGTCTCTGTCTCCCTCCCTCACTCCCCCTCTCTCTTTCTCCTTCCCTTTCTCCAGCCTTCATTGTTTTGTTCTGTGTTGTCTTGGTATGACATGGAGTTTTGTAGCCCAAGCTGATCGCATAGCAACCCTCCGGCATTAGTCTCCCAAGTGCTGGTATTACAGCTCTGTACCACCATATCTTGGTTTGTTCTAGGGTTTTAGTGTTTTGTTTTGTTTGTTTGTTTTGTTGCTGCTGTTGTGAAAGAGTCTCATGTAATCTAGGCTGGCCTAGAACTTGCTATGTAGCTGAGAATGGTCAGTTCTGAGATTGAAGAAGGTACCATCATGTCTGGTCTATGTGGTTCTGAGAATGAGCCCAGGGATTTGTGTAGGCAAGGACTCTCCCAACAGAGCTGCATCCCCAGCCCCAAGGATTTCTTGAATTTCTAATAGACATCCAGAAGCTCTTGTACTCTTTCAATAAGTCAGAAGAAATTCTGCTGTTCACTACTAGTATTTACAGAAATGGACATCTGAACACGTATAAAATTGTTGAAATAAAATAATATGTAAATAATTGTATGTGTGCGTGTACAAAACAGTATGTTTATTTTAAATTTTTTTATTTGAGACAGGGTTTCTTTGTGTGTAGCCCAGCTAAAATGGCATAGTCTTGTACTGACCAGTTTTATGTAAACTTGACATAAGCTAAAGTCATCAGAGAGGAGGGAACCTGAATTGAGAAAATGCCTCCAAGTTGTTGGGCAGTGGTGGCACACACCTTTAATCCTAGAACTTGGGAGACAGAGGCAGTTGGTTCTCTGTGAGTTCTAGTCCAGCCTGGTCTCTAGAGCAAGTTCCAGGACACCCATGGATGTTACACAGAGAAACCCTATCTCGAAACAAAACAAAACAAAAACAAAAAGCAAAAACCTACCCTCTACCCCTAAAAAGGGCTACAAGGTTAAGTGACAGGAAAAAAAATGGTATTCAAAATAAGTTAATTAAAATGAAGTTAAAATACAAAAATATAAAACATATTTGATTTACTAAAATTAGCTCAATAGGCTTACAAATGATCATCAAATTTGGGGCATCAAATCGCCGTAGTCAAGCAAGGACCGGTGGAACAGGCCTGCAATCCAGCACTTGAAAGCTGCAGGAACAGAGTTCAAGGTCTCTGAAGATGGAGGCCAGCCTGAGCTGCCTGAGAGCCTACCTCAGACAACAAAACCAAAATGGATCAAAACCAAATGCAAATGGTCATATAAGAAGGAGCAACGCCTTAGCCTAAGATTCTGGCCTAACCTTAACCCTGTTAGTATTCAGGCATCTGTACTGTCCTGTCCAGAACTTGACAAAGAAAATAGGCATCTGAAAGTCAGCTGTTAATAAGTTATCAACCAGAGCCCCATAAAGCACAGTTTATGTTTGGAAGAAAATCAAAATAATCCTACCATCATGAGACCAATCAGCCTTAGGCTACTGCTCCCTTCATCTCGACTGATGGGCTTCTTGATCCTGGAGATCTTTTTGTGGGGAGCTCAGATACTCCAGCAGCCAGAAAGAAAACCAGACTGCTAGCATTCGTGTTTTGTTTTGTTTTTTTCCCCGTACACAAGAAGGGACACTTCTGAATTCAGTGTTTTCTGTGGATCTGAGAGAGTACACTGTCAGGATATACTCTCTTCCTCCTGGAATGTCTGTGCTGCAGGATTTTTCACAACAGTGGGAGCAGCTGCAGGAGTTAGGGGGACAGAAAAAAAAATAACATGTTGCCGAGATCACCTTTTACCAGACACACTTAAATCACCCGTTCCTCCCGCTCAATCGAGTCAGCGCAATTCCGCAATGACACCTGTATATGGAATTGCTAACTTCATTTAATTAGCAGTTTCATGACGATTTAATAACAACCCTCAAATGCTGTTCACACAAACACAGAAAGTATCAGGTAGATTATGAATTCCACAGTAATCTTATGTGGTCTACAGTGTTGTTTGTATAATTTTACAGATGAGGAAATGGGCTTGTAACGATTGATTAAGTAGTTTGCTCTGAGTTAGATGTCTGGCAGGTAACAGAGGTATAATCAGAAGCTAGGACTGCCTGCTGGGGAAGCCCCAGGCCACTGGGTTACAAGACTTTATCAGTCACCTGCTAGCAGCCAGCCACTCACAAAGCGTGGCCTGTCTGGCCACGTCTTCCCACCTTTGGCTTTCCCAATACCTTCCCTGCCCCCTCCACCACTGCCCTATTTCACTAAGGCAACGACGACAGCCAAGTATGGAGCCACTGGAGGCTCACCTGATGTTTGGTGGACTGAGGCTGGAAAAAGAATATCCCGAATGTATGTAAGCGTTTAGGGCATCACTTAAGACAAGAGGGACTTAACTCTGTAAAATACACTGTGAAGAAACATTACATGGGGCGCGCACACACACACACACACACACACACACACACACACACACACACACACAGGTGGTGGTGATATAATTTGAGCGTCTTTATATTCCTGTTTGGATTAAGCAGATAAAATACACTCCTGTAAAGTATATTCCAGAATCAAGAAGTCGGAAATAGAGCATAAAAAAGGTAAAGGACACCTTTAATCCCAGCACTCGGGAGTCAGAGCTCTGTGAGTTTGAGACCAGCCTGGTCTACAAGAGCTAGTTCCAGGACAGCCTCCAAAGCCACAGGGAAACCCTGTGTCGGGGGGGGGGATATAAAGGACAAGATGAATTAAATTAATTCTGAAATAGGAATTGTTTTATAAAAAAGAAAAAAAAAGTAGGGCACATAAAAAGAAAAGCTACTTTTTTTGTTTTGTTTTGGTTTTGTTTTTTGAGACAGGGTCTTCCTGTGTAACCCTGACTATCCTGGAACTTGCTCTTGACCTGAGTAGCCTTGAACTCACAGAGATTCCCCCTGCCTCTGCTTTTCAAGCGCTGGCTAGAAAAACTACTTTTAAAAGCATTATATTGTGGGGCACTCAGGAGACAGAGGCAGGCAGATCTCTGAGTTCAAGGCCAGACTGGTTTACAAAGGAAGTTCTAGGACAGTCAGAACTGTTACAGAGAAACCCCGTCTTGAAAAAAAAAGGTCAATTTATTTGCTACCTGTTATCAATTACCAAAGTTCAATGGATCTGAGCTAAGTTGGATAAGATTTTTTACGGCAAAAGGCCTAAGAATTCTTAACAGGGAGACAGTGACTAAGTGGTAAGTCAATTTACTAAAGTATCCTTTATCACAAGTAATTGTGAAGTGTTTTATCCAAAGATGCCACATTAATAAGAGCACTATCATGAAAAATGGAAATTAATTATATTGTAGTGTTAATACTGATTGTCCAGTTGACAGGATAGAACCACCGGGAGACAAACCTTGTTGGGGTGTGCCTGTGAGTGCTGCTTGTATTTTACAGATTCAGCTGGGTGGGGAGACTGATCCTAGTTATGGGTGGCCTCATTCTTAGGGCTGGGATCTCGAACTGAATTAAAAGGCAGGAGTGAGCTGATTATTTATGGCTTATTCTAAATTTAAGTTGGTTTTATTTGCTGGCTAGCCTACATTCTGGTCTTAACAGCTTTTCTGTTTTATCTATGGCTTACCTATTCATCCATGGGTGGGGAAAGAATGGGACACTAATACAGAAGGCAGCAGAAAATGTTTCCTATTTGTTATGACTTTTTTGAAGACAAAAAATAATAACACATGACTAATATTTTTAAGTTAGAGAAGTCACCAGCCTTCCATTTTCTTTTTTAAAAATTTTTTCAGAAATTTTTTTATTTAAGTTAGATACAAGCTTGCTTCACACGTCAATCCCAGTTCCCTCTCCCTCCCCTCCTCCCCCAGCTTCCCACCCAATCCCCACTGCATTCCCCAGGGAGGGTGAGGCCCTCCGTGGGGCATCTCCAGAGTCTGTCATTTCGTTCATGGCAGGGCCTGGGCCCTCCCCCCATGTGTCCAGACTGAGAGAGCATCCCTCATTGTGGGATGGGCACCCAAAGTCTATTTGTATGCCAGGGATAAATACTGATCTATTACCCAAGGCCCCATAGACTGCCTAGGCCTTCTCACTGACACCCACATTCAGGAGGTCTGGATCAGTTCCATACTGGCCTCCTAGCCATCAGTCTGGGGTCCAAGAGCTTCCCCTTGTTCAGGTCAGCTGTTTCTGTGGGTTAAACCAGTCCAGTCTTGACCCACTGCTGGTGATTAATTCTATCAGAGACTTCAGATTCTCTGCTGTGGTTAAGGGGTGCCAGGAGATCCTGAAATGGGTATGATCATTTTCTTAGATGGCCAGTAAATTGTACAGAGTAAGTGCGCTTGGACCATTCAAGTGAGGTTAACCCATAGCTTATAGATGTAGGCCACTGGGTATACTGATATATTGATAAAAAAGTTACTGATAGTAAGTACCATACGGAATGATCCTAAGTGACCACCAAAGGATTAATGGGTAAAGAAAATGTGGTTTATATGTACAATGCTAGTCTGTCTTGATGAAGAAGAAAATACTGCCATTTGTTGCAACTTCAAGCTACTTTAAGATAAGTCAGAATGGCTACCATTGGGAAAACAAATTTGACAACAAGTGGTGAGGAAACAGAGAAAGAGGAACCTAGTTTCTCTTGGTGGGAGTATAAGCTCATGTGCAAGTCAGTGTGGAGGCTTCTCCAAAAACTAAAATAGAACTGTCATGTGGCCCAGATATACCACTCCTGAGCATATACCCGGGGAATCCTATAGCCTGCCACAAGGACAGCTGCACATCCATGTTTATTGCTGCCCTTACACAACAGCCAGGAAGAGGACTTAGCCCAGCTGTCCGGCAACATATGAATGAAGAATGAAAATGTGACACATGTGTATAATGAACGTTTACTCAGCAACAAAGAGATGTGAAACTTGCAGGAAAATGGAATGGAAAACATTATATTGAGAGAGGCAACCCAGGCTCAGGAAGACAAGCACCATATGTTCTCTCTCATATGCAGATCCTAGCTTATAATTGTAAATTCTGTATGTGGGGGTGGGAGTAAGTGTGGGTAAAAGACCAGGAAACTAGAGAGGCCCATGAGGCAGGGAAGAAGAGGCTTTGGGGAGGAGGAAAAACCCTGACCCTAGCCCCACCCTTATTACTTGTAAGCTAACTTTTAAAAATAATAAAAATACTGTCATTTGTATTTATACTCAAGATAAATAATTGACGTTGTCATTAACCAGCGGTATTTTGGGTATATGGTTATTGAGACTCCCATTTTTGTGTGTGTGTGTGTGTGTGTGTGTGTGTGTAGGAGAAAAAGAGAAAAGTGTTTGCTTGTGTGTTGAATATGTGTTTGTGTGTTGTGTAGTGTGTATGGCATGTTTGTGTGTTTGTGTGGTGTATTGGTGTATGCGTACATGTGTGGGTGATGTGTTTGTGTGTGTGGCATGTTTGTGTGTTTGTTTGTGTGGTGTATATGTGTTTGTGTGGTGCATGTGGGGTGTGTGTGTGTGTGTGTGTGTGTGTGTAGGAGAGAGAGAGAAAAGTGTTTGCTTGTGTGTTGAATATGTGTTTGTGTGTTGTGTAGTGTGTATGGCATGTTTGTGTGTTTGTGTGGTGTATTGGTGTATGCGTACATGTGTGGTGTATATGTGTTTGTGTGGTGCATGTGGGGTGTGTGTGTGTTTGTGTGGTGTATATGTGTTTGTGTGGTGCATGTGGGGTGTGTGTGTGTTTGTGTGGTGTATATGTGTTTGTGTGGTGCATGTGGTATGTGTGTGTGTGTGTGTTGTGCATCATGTATGGATGTGCATCACATACAGATTTGTGCTTATGTCTGTGGGTACCAGTGGTTGGCATTAGACGCCCTCCTTAGATGCTCTTTGCTTTACTGAAGCAGCTTCTCTCAGATGAACCCATAGCTCACCAGTTCTGCTAGTCTGGCCAGCCAGCTTGCCCTGGACATCCCCCCTTTCTCTGTCTTCAAGTGCTGAGATTATGGTCTTGCCCAGCCAGATTTATGTAGGTGCTGGAGATCAAACCCAGGTCCCCACGCATGCATGGCAAGTGCTTTCACCTGAGCCATCTCCCCAGCACTAGTAAATGGGAACTGTAATGGAATAAGGAAGCCATTGTTCAAGACTGAAAACCCTAGAGACTTGCTAAGCGGTTTTCCTCTTTGCCTTCTGTCTTCTTGCTTACGCACCCTCTCCTAGCCCTGCTGTCATTTCTGGATTCTTTCCCTTCTCCCTGTCCCAGGGAAAGTTGTCTTCCCTCTCTGTACTGGTTTCTACCCTGGCAGCTCCTGACTTTTATATACGGTCTGCCCCCACCACTTGAACTGTAGTCTCATATTCCTCCCATGACCTCGTTTTTTTTACTTTGATGTTGTCTTAAGCCCCAAACTTGCCTACCTGAATATATCTCTTGGCTCCATAAGTCGCATTTCTCTTGGGGAGGGAGAAAGCATGGTTATTCTCAGTTCCCTTGCTCTTGGCAAACACGGTCAGTCTTTAGAAGACCCTGAACTCAAAGCCCTGGGCCATTACCTTTGGTTGAGTTCACTGGTGATGCTGTGGAAAACTAGCTCTCCTCTGCATCTCTGGGGCCCATTAGAAGAACCTGAGATTTCACAGCTAGGTCCTACTGCCCAGAGGTTGTTAGTGTGATTCATCTGGAGGCTGAATTGTGTATCCTTGCACTTCTGTTGACATAAAACAGATCTTCTCTAAAAAAGAA